ATGGTGAGTATACAGATACATGCTGCAAAATTCTTTCAACTTTTCAGGGCACCTGGCTAACTCAATTGGTGGAGCATGTGACTCTTGATCCCAGTGTTGTGAGTTCAAGCTCCACGTTGGGTGTAGAGATTACTTAAAAGAAATCTTAAAAAAAAATTCTTTCAACTTTTCTGTGTTTGAAATTCTCCATGACAAAATGTTGAACACGCTTCCCCAAATATTACTGTCACATATTTGTATCCTAAGAAGAGACACTGAGGTGCTTTTCTTTAAAAAAAAAATTCTGTCTCAGTGCCTGGGTGGCTCAGTTGGTTAAGCATCTGCCTTTGGCTCAGGTCATGATCCCAGGGGTCCTGGGACTGAGGCCCCCAGGGGGATCCCTGCGGAGCCCTTTGTCTCTGCCTCTCTCTCTCTGCCTCTCATGAATAAATAAATCTTAAAAAAAAAATTCCGTCCTATTCAGCATCCCATAACATATGATAACACAGATTTAACTGTGAAATTGTATAGGATGAGTAAAGTGCTGTGGGGTTCTGAAATAAGAGCAAGCACATAGACTAGCCTGAAGAGCTCAAAGAAGAAGTCTAAAAGTATCCCCTAGATATTTGTCACTGTGAGTCTCATTTCTATGGATTGTGGCAAGGGGGAAGAAAAAGATTAAATTGAGGTTGAATTTATTATATGTACATTACTTGGCAAAAAGGATTTTTTTTACTAAGATATCAATTCAAATACTATTTACTTATTAGCACTCATACTATAGTTAAGTCCAAAACTATGAGGGATATAACAAAAGAAGTCATAATCCTCTTCCTCAAGGAGTTTACTAGGAACCCAAACCATCCATATGGCAATATATTTTGTGTTACATAAAACAGGTTCTTTTAAGTTTTCCTCAAAATCATTTTATCATTTTTTAGTTTTAATTTTTTTAACATTTTATGAGAAAGAGAGAGAGAGAGGGAGAGAGAATAGCAGGTGGAGCAGCAGGGAGAGGGAGAAGGAGAAGCAGGCTTCCTGCTGAGCAGAGAGCCCAGTGTGGGGCTGGATCTCAGGACCCTGGGATCATGATTTGAGCTGAAGGCAGACACTTGGCTGAGCCACCCAGGCACCCCCATTTTTTAGCTTTCAGAGACCTACAAATTACTGGTCTGATCAAGGGCTGAGCTCAATTTATTTCAAGATAATATTATTATTTTTTAAGATTTTATTTATTTATTCATGAGAGACATAGAGAGAGAGGCAGAGACACAGGCAGAGGGAGAAGCAGTCTCCATGCAGGGAGCCTGACGTGGAACTCCATCCCAGGACTCTAGGATCAGGCCTTGGGCTGAAGGCAGCGCTAAACCGCTGAGCCACTCAGGCTGCCCCTCAAGATAATATTCTTGACCAGGGATTCATGTTACACATTTACTTATTAAACAGAACTTTCATCTCTTCTTGGGTTCAGGAGGGAGATGGATAAAGAAGTACACTTGGTAGAAGTTAAGGATTAAAAGTTTACTAACAAAAATCTGGAGCTGTATCACAATCTAATAGATTGGCTTGTATGGCTTCAGTATGTGCCTGGGATATGATGATATTTTAGAAAGGTCTTGATACTTAAGATAAATGTTGTTACATACACAGCAATAAATGCTCTTTCATGATTTTAGAGTGTAGCATTCTGATTAATGAAATATTCTGGTTTTAATATCGATTTTATTATAGAATCTGAATTACTAATGAAGAAAATGAAGCTTGAATGTTAAAAATGGCTTATATTAAAACTACAGGTATGAATACGAAAGGAGTTTCAGGCCTTTGGACATCACTCCGAACTCCCACAAACACTAATGGTGAGCAAGTTACTCTGAACAAAGTACTGTCTTACAATTGAGAGGGACAGAAAATATTTGAGATGTGGCTCCTGCCTCTTAGAAAGTATGTTAGCTTTTAGAGAGTTCCAGTTAACCAAATACGGGTCACCTGGGTGGTTCAATTGGTTGGGCGTCTGCTTTGGGCTCAGGTCATGATCCCTGGGTTATTCTTTGAGCTCTCTGCTCAGCAGGAAGTCTGTCCCTCTCTTTGCCCCTCCCCTCTGCTCTTGTTCTCGCTCTCTCTCTTTCAAACAAATAAATAAAATCTTAAAGAAAAACCCTAAATGAATAAGTGAATATTAGTAGATGATGTTACATATATTTTACTTTCCATTTTCCATTCTGATTAAGCCCTCTTATGTTTTCATTTCCCTTTTCAGTCTTTCCCAACTATCAAAACTATGTGTGCTTCGGAAATAGACTGTAGTGGCTAAACAAAGTGATTTGTCCCTAGCAGCCCTAATCTGTATTTGTTGAACTGAAATGAATATCTTGTCCAGTTTTAACTTCATGTGCTTGGCAATTGGCTAATCTGGAAAGTCAAAGACACATTGAAAAATGAGGAGATGGGACGTCTGGGTGGCTCAGCGGTTGAGCATCTGCCGTTGGCCCAGGGTGTGATCCTGGAGTCCAGGGATCCAGTCCCACATTAGGCTCCCTGCATGGAGCCCGCTTCTCCCTCTGCCTCTCTCTCTGTTTCTCTCATGAATAAATAAATAAAATCTTAAAAAAAAATGAGGAGAGAATATTGCTAAACACTGCAGCTGCCAAGAATCTCCTTTCAAAACCTAAAGTCTGTTACATGAATTATGAACTCTTTAAACTCTCTTCCACGTTTGTTTACACAATTGATCATTGAAACTACTTTAGAATATGTGTGTCAATTATTTAGCATATTATAAAAGCTTCCTTAATAACATCTTTAATAAGTGGATGCAATTATGTATTTATTTACTGCAAACAGTTATGAATAACAGATAACCTAATTATAGTTTATCATTACCTCTAATCATTCCAATGGAAAGATTTCTCTCCCTGCATTCATATTGTTTTGGTCCATGAGTATGGAAAGCAGCAGATTGTTTTCTGTGATCATAGATTTTAAATATTTACTTGCTAGTGCTGCATAATTTAGCACACTGTAGTTGGAAAGCAGTTTGTATGGTAGTGGATGCCATGGTGGTGTTACAGAATAGTTTCCCTCTGTGACTTCTACGTGAGGTTGTAAAAATGGAAAGTATTCTACTCCATTTTTCTTTTTTTTAAATTTTTTTATTTTATTTATGATAGTCACACACACACAGAGAGAGAGAGAGAGGCAGAGACACAGGCAGAGGAAGAAGCAGGCTCCATGCACCGGGAGCCTGACGTGGGATTCGATCCTGGGCGCCAAACCGCTGCGCCACCCAGGGATCCCTACTCCATTTTTCTAACCAATTAGAATCTGTTTAGCTGCAAATCCACAGATAACCAATGTTTATGGTATGCATCAATTTTATTTTGTATAATTACCATATAGTTTAAGAATTCAAGTATTGTTTCTTATAGGCTATTAGTGCACAATATCAAAAATAAAATCTATTTATCCTCGGTAACCTAAATCTTTATGAAAGTAACAAAAAGGCATCTAGACCGCTGGTTTGATACATGCTATATCTGTCCTAAGAAATCGAAACAAAGTTCCATATTTTAAAATACAGAACCACGGGCTATCTAATGAAGCGAAGAAACAGTTATTTTGTTTGTTCCCTATCATAAATGTTACATTTATGATCTTGCTGTATCCTTTGTGTGATTCGTTACTTGGTTGCCCTACCACATAATAGAAAATAAGTAGCTCCAGTTATCTGTTTTTGTAAGAATAACCATGAAAATAATCCAAACCGTTAACACGTGCAAAAGGGGAAAACATAAAAAAAATTTCATTTTGGGGACGCCTGGATGGCTCAGTGGTTAAGCTCTGCTTTCCGCTCAGGGTGTGATCCTGGAGTTCAGGAATCGAGTCCCATGTTGGGCTCCCTGCATGGAGCCTGCTTCTCCCTCTGCCTGTGTCTCTGCCTCTCTCTCTCTCTCTTATGAATAAATACAATCCTAACAATTTTTTTTTCATTTTGAACTTTAAACTCAGCATTCTGAAAGGTTTCTTTTCCCATGTGGGTGCACAGTCCTGCAGTACAGATCATTAATTTTTTACTTCTAGCTCTTACTATAATTTCTTATGCAATTCAGGAGCATGTCTGGTAGTCCCTTTTCCAATACAATCTTTCAGTACTGCAAAACGACCTAGAATTACACTTTTCAGTAATTTAGTATCAGAACCCGTATGAGTGTGGGTAAAAATTTCCATTTCATTAAAAGCCTTTACACCATCCTGTGTTTCAACCCTTGAAAATAATCGTAATGTGGAAAGTGCACACATTCCTTAACATCTTTTTTTTTTTTTTAAGATTTTTTTCAATTATTCTTGAGAGACACAGAGAGAGGCAGAGACACAGGCAGAGGGAGAAGCAGGCTCCCCGCAGGGAGCCCCAGGTGGGACTCGATCTCCGGCCCTAGGATCACACCCTGAGCCAAAGGCAGATGCTCAACCACTGAGCCACCCAGACATCCCACATTCCTTAATATCTTATATAAGTATTTACCTACAGTTTCAACTATAGCTTGGCTTAGAGAACCTTCACAACAGGATAGCAAGGAATATCTGTATTTTTATCAAAGTCGGTCTGCACTAGCCTAAGGAATTTAGTGACTCCTCCGAAATCACATCTCGGGTCTTGCGGGTGTCAGGAGGAGAGCGAAGACTGAGGGGCGCAGTGGATCCTGGGTCTTGTAGTTCAGGCGCTACCGGAGAGGGCGTGGCGTTGCGTGGCACGCTGGGAGTTGAAGTCCAATTGTCCAGCGGGACCTCAAAGCCGGCGTAGTGTGGATTATCTACCAGAGACACTAAATACTGACAAGATACGTTCCCTTGGCTCTATGCCTGCCATATTGGTAACCTAGGGCTTCACGTGGCGAACGGGGCGGGGGGCGGGGGGGGGGGAGGCTGAAGTGGAGCGTGGCTCTCTTGGCGCTAATATTGCTACGGCCAATCGGAAGGATTTAGTGCCCCGGAAGTGTCTGACTTACTGGGTTGGAAGGGGAGGCCTTTCCTCTTAACTACGGCGGCCGGGGGAGCTCAGGTGCCTGTGGCTGCGGCGCCGAGGTCGGAGCGTCTGCGTGTGGACGGGCTGCTTTTGGGGCGGCTGCTGCTAGAGCTGGAGCCTTTCCCGGGTTGGTGTCTCCTGCACATTTTTTTTTTTTTTACACGTCTCCAATTCTGTTTCGGTGAGGGGTGATTTGAGTGGAGCGGAGTCAGGAGAAGGTTGGGACTTAGTGTCTCTGGTCGCCAAAAGATCGTTTTTTTTGGGGGGTGGTGGTGAGGGGAACCCTCCCCTCTGTGGAGGTCCTGTGGCCAGCCGTTGAGGCTGAGGCTTGTGGCGCCTCCCTCATCTACTTTCTAGAGTAATTTGTTTTCTGACCCCTCGCCCTTCCTGGGCTCCAGACCTAACCATAAACCTTCCTGTGGGCAGCTGCCCCCCTTCTTGTGGCTTTGCTTGTAATCCAGAGACGACCTCTTGGCCCCTAAGCTGTCGCGTCTGTTTATAACCTTTTCCCCATTAAAAAAAAGAAAAGAAGTGAAAAACAAACATTAGATTCTCAAGATCTGCCTTCTCATTCCTAACAACCCTTTTTTTCCCTCCTTTTTGGCCTTCGTTACCGCTGCAGACCTTAACACACTCGCCCGAGTGTCATCACTCACGCCTTTCCATCCGGTCGTTAAGGTCCGCTCACTTGACTTGGTTCTCACTCATCCCCAGCGCTTCCATCCACATCCACACCCACACCCACATGGTTGGAGGTTCGAATACATTCTTCTGATGACGGGTGAATCTGAGAGTCAGTGGTCAACTCAGCATGCCTCTGCTTAGAGAGTTTGTATTTCTTAAGATTTCTTTGGCTTACGTTTTCCTTTTGTGTTATTTTCCCACAGAGGTTTGCTGCTACCCTATAGTTAGGGGAGAATACTTTGTCCTAAGGGCTCTTTGTGTTGGAATTACTTAGGGGGGGGACTTCCCCTCCCCATTCTTAGTCGGAGCGTGTCCCCCCTGTGGAATTTGCAGTGATTTAGTGTCCGTTAATAGCAGATGGACACAAGGGAAAGCTCTTTCCTTCTAGCTGGCTTGTGATTTGTTATGAGATTATGAGTCATTGAAAGTACCCAGAGGGATTGGAAAAGCCTTGAAAGGTAAAGTCTATGTATGTTCCAATTTACACATTAATAAATCTTCTTTCCTGAACAAGGAAGGGTTTCTAATTGATACAATAATCTGATGCTGTATTGAGTTATCAGCTCATTCTCCATAAATTTTGGTAACCGTTTAAAGGTAAAAAATAGCCAAAATAAGGAATTGTATAATGTAGTAAAAAAAGTTTAAAAACCGTTTAACTAATGCTCTTTTTCTGTGAAAGGAAGGCAAGTATGTTGAAAAAAAATTTTTTTGTAATTGTTTTTGGTATACTGTTATATATTTTGATAAATCTGGTAAAACAGCATTAGGTGCTGTTCATTTATGTTTCACAGACAGAAATTTTTGTACTTCCTGGCTTTATGGTGACTGTGTAACTCAAATGAGTCTGTAGCTTTTCTTCTATTTTGTTTATTGCACTGTGGAAACCCTAATAGTAACACTTACATTCCTCTTTTTTTTTTAAGATTTTATTTATTTATTCATAGAGATAGAGATAGAGAGAGAGAGGCAGAGACACAGGCAGAGGGAGAAGCAGGCTCCATGCAGGGAACCCGATGTGGGACTCGATCCCCGGTCTCCAGGATAAAACACCAGGCTTCAGGTGGTGCTAAACTGCTGCGCCACTGGGGCTGCCCTACATTCCTCTTTAAGCAGTCAAATATAGTCTATACATGTCAGTAAATATAAATATTACTTATCTATACCCTGTCAAATTGGAATTATTCCTAATTAATCAGAAATGCTTTCAGCCATGACTATGATTTGGAGCTGAATATATATATTTCAGATGTAATTCACTCATAGAATCCTTTTTTTAAATTAATTTTTTAAAATTTAAATTCAGTGAATTAACATATAATGTATTATTGGTTTCAGGGGTAGAATTCAGTGATTCCTTGGTCTTATATAACACCCAGTGCTCATTACATCAGGTGCCCTTCTTAATGTCCATTACCTGGTTACCCCATTCCCTTACCCCTCCCCCTCCTGTTTGTTTCCTATGATTAAAGAGTCTCATATAGTTTGTCTCCCTCTCTGATTTCATCTTGTTTTATTTTTTCCTCTCTTCCCCTCTGATCCTCTGTTTTGTTTCTTAAATTACACACGAGTGAGATCATATAATAGTCTTTCTCTAATTGACTTATTTTGCTTAGCATAATATCCTTTAGTTTCACTCATGTCATTGCAAATGGCAAGATTTCATTCTTTTTGATGGCCGAATAGTATTCATATATATATATATATATATATATATATATATATATATATATCTCCCATATATATATATATATACACACATACATTTTTATGTATTCACCTGTTGATGGACATCTGGGCTCTTTCCATAGTTTGGCTATTGTGGACATTGGTGCTATAACCAGTAGGGTGCAGGTGCTCCTTCAGATCACTACATTTATATCTTTGGGGTAAATACCCAGTAGTGCAATTGCTGGGTCATTGGGTAGCTCTATTTTCATCTTTTTGAGGAACCTCCATACTGTTTTCCAGAGTGGCTGCACCAGCTTGCATTCCCATCAACAGTGTAAGAGGATTTCCCTTTCTCTACATCCTCGCCAATGTTTGTCATTTCCTGACTTGTTAATTTTAGCCATTCTGACTGATATGAGGTGGTATCTCATTGGGTTTGATGTGTATTTTCCTGATGAAAAGTGACGTGGAGCATTTTTCATGTGCCTATTTTCCACGTGTAGGTCTTCTTTGGAGAAATATCTGTTCATGTCTTCTGCCCATTTCTTGATTGGATTATTTGTTCTTTGGTTGTTGAGTTTGATAAGTTCTTTATAGGTTTTGGATATTAGCTCTTTATCTGATATGTCATTTGCAGATATCTTCTCCCATTCTGTTGGTTGTCTTTTGGTTTTGTTGTTCCCTTTGCTGTGCATAAACTTTTTATCTTGAAGAAGTCTCAAGTCTTCTGCATGTGGCCAGTTTTCCCAACACCATTTGTTGAAAAGACGGTCTTTTTTTCTATACTCATGGAATTTTGATTGGATAAATGATAAGATGCTAGACATTACTCAAACTTTTAATATTTTTCCTCAGATTTTATTCATTTTGTAGGCATTTATCAAATATGTCTTGCAATTTAACTGTCAGAAAACTATCAAAACATGTACTGAGAGCATCCTCTTGTCCTCAACTCTGTACTAGGTGCTGTTAAAGCATTTTTTTTAAAAGAAGATTTTATTTATTTAAATAAATATTTAAGTTCCAAGTCTCCAGGATCATACCCCAGACTGAAGGCGGCACCAAACCACTGGGCCCTCGGGACTGCCCCTGTTAAAGCATTATTGCATTTAATCAATACAACAACTCAGTGAGCTTGTGAACATTGTTTACATTTAGCAGGTCAAGAAACTGAAGCTCAAACAGTTCAAGTCACTTAGTTAGTCCAGTTTATTTTGACTCATCCTACTGTACCACAGCTGCAAAGATGTGTTCTCTACTCTGGATTATATAAGAAACATTAATCCAATTAGTATTTTTAGAAGCAATTGTTATTTGGTACATGATATCTGTTATCTGTTATCTGTTGCTGGAGATAAAACAGTGACAAAGGAGACAAAAGTCCCTTCTCTTGGGGAGCTTACACTATAGCAGAATGTATGGGATGTAAACTTTGCCTTCAAGAAGCAGCAAGTACAGCCAATTAGCTATATTAGATTTTATGTGTTTTAGAATGTTAAAGTTGAAAAGAGAGATTTTTTTTTTTTTTTTTTTTTTTTTTTTACTTATGATAGTCAGAGAGAGAGAGTGAGAGAGAGAGGCAGAGACATAGGCAGAGGGAGAAGCAGGCTCCATGCACCGGGAGCCTGACGTGGGATTCGATCCCGGGTCTCCAGAATCGCGCCCTGGGCCAAAGGCAGGCGCCAAACCGCTGCGCCACCCAGGGATCCCGAAAAGAGAGATTAAATAGAAAAGATTTAATGAAGAAGATGAGATTGAATCTAGAACTAAAGTAGTGACAATAGTTTCGGTAGGTAGAAACTGGGAAGAAAGTGATTCTAGCTTAAGGAATAGAAAGAAGAAAATTCTGAATCATAGGGGAGAAAGAAGAGAGGGAGGGACAGATAACTGGACTGCTTTGTATCTTCAGTTCCTTGCACACACAAGTGCACGGTGTTGGTTGAATTTGAAACAAATGTTTATTTATTTTTTATTTTTTTTTAAATTTATTTTTTTTAAATTTATTTATTTATGATAGTCACACACACAGAGAGAGAGAGGCAGAGACACAGGCAGAGGGAGAAGCAGGCTCCATGCACCGGGAGCCCGACGTGGGAGTCGATCCCGGGTCTCCAGGATCGCGCCCTGGGCCAAAGGCAGGCGCCAAACCGCTGCGCCACCTAGGGATCCCTGAAACAAATGTTTAAATGAATGAAGCTATGACAAAAGTTCAGATATAAAGCAAGGAGGAATTAGATAGATCTAATGTTATTATAGTGGGACTGGAAGAAAGGAATGGATTTGATAGCTGTTGGTGAAAGAACCAGGAGGCTCTGTTAATTATTGAATATTGGGAGTAGTGTGATGGCCAAAGGAGAAGGGAGGCTACGTTATCAAGTTTGAACTCAGTGGACCAGGCGTGTTGTAGATTTACTCATTTTTTCAAATCATGAGATTAAAAAAAATTCCAAGATAAAACCTTTGTTTTATGAACCACTATGAAAAAAAAATACTGTCAACTAAACAAAGATCATCAACTATAAGATGCATTTATTTTCAGAGTCAAAATGTAAATATGTGATGTAGAAATGATGAAATAAAGTACTCCTTATGATGGTTAGTGGACTTTATAACCAATTTCTTTCTGTTTATAAGTAAATTTGCAATCTTTGACGGGCATTCAGTCATTTAGCATTTATTTATTAACTGGGCATTCTCCTAGGTCATAATGATAAAATAGATGGTGAGTAAATACATTTTCTACCCTCATAGAAAGTATTGCATAACTGGGAA